CAGGGTAAGAGATCACACAGCTCATATGTGCTATGACCAGGGTAAGAACCCACATCTCGGGGCTCTAGGGCCAATGAAAAAAAAGAAAAAAAAAGTAAAATTCTAGGTAAACCAAAAGACAAGTCAGTTCTTCTTTTCTTCTTCTTTTTTCAAATCTCACAACTTTGGACTCAAAGTCTTGAAACTTAAAGCAGAAAGAGGCCAGATCTTATTGGCCAAAGCCTAAGATGTCAGGGATGAAAGCCTTCGCATCATGGGAACTATTCAAGAAACCTGACCAGCTGAGCAGCTGCAGAAGTCTACACCTCTGTCCTCCGGGTACGGATGCCTTGGTCCAGTGGTGTCTCCTGTTCCATAGCTGGCCCCAGGTCCAGCGACTGCCCACTAGACTCTACGGAGGAACCCCAAACCCTAGTCCAAAGCAAACTTCAGGTCAGGAACTCGCCAGTGTCCATCTCTAGGCCCGAGGGTCCCAAGCTAGGGGTGCTTTCCCTGTGGGGAACTTCAAGGACACCCATAAGCTGTTTCTAATGCTTAAAACACGTTTTACTCTAGTGGTCCATTTACCTGGGATGAGGTCACCCAGGCTAATTAGGGATTTGTTTCTTTGCTTTGTGCTGTAATCTGTCAACTCAGTGGTAAATGAGTTAGATCTCTTTGATTAACAGTTACTCTTTGATTAACAAGAAATGGGGGATGAATTCATTAGTACGTGTGAAGTCTCCATCGTCTACCTGAGTCTGGGTGGCTGAGCTGCTCCTCTTGCTTAGGAAAGCGTAAGCGCTCCCCACAGCTTTAATGTGTCTCCTCATTTGCCATTTTAATGGGTCTCAAGACTAACAAAGACTCAAGGCTTCCTTCCAGGGAATCACAGCCCCTCGGGGTCTCAGTTTTCCCAACTATAAATTGGAACACATGCTTTACAAGGGATGTTATGGCAAATTAGGAGAGAATGTGTGCCTGGCCTCACTAAGGACAGTCATCCAGATGACAGCGGACAGAGAACTCAAGAGACATCCAGTGAGTAACAGACATGAGCAGAGCCTCCTGGCAGGGCCTCAGGCAAACCTGGAGATGTGGGGCCAGCCGCCTGCAAGGCTGCCCATCTCTGCTCCAGACAGTGACTGCCACGTGGGAACGTAAGTCGACCGTGTCAAGAGAAACCAGAAATCAGGGTCAATATGTGACATCACTCAGATGGTAATTTACGTTTTCTCTAATACCGCACAGCATGTCTCTGACTACATGTGGCCTATAGGCCTCCACTTTGAAGCCCCCTGGCCTAGGTGTCTCCGGGGGCCTTAGAATGGTCACCTTTTCAGAATCTAACATCAGGTGGTGATTGCCTGGATCCAGCCACGCTCCTCCCTCAGCAGCCCAAGCTTGGAGTGGGGGGTAGCTGGGGGCAGAGGGGGGGAGTGTGCTGCACCAGGAGCTGTGGACAGAGAGGTGGCCGTTCACGCTCCAGCCCGTCCCAAACGGCACCCATCACTTCCAAGCCTCCACCCCTAGCCTAGATTTACCTTACAGGTGAGTGATGTGTCCTCTACCTATCCGGTGGTTGAGGCCAGAGACCGGATGGCCCCCTGCGTTCCTCCCTCCTCTTCCCCACCTCCACGCTGAGTCAAGAGCAGGTACGGACAGTTCTGCCTCCCACATGTGTCTGGATTCACCCTCTCCTGCCCTGGGGACTGGCTGGGCCTGGTTCAGGCACTCAGGGCCACTCCCCTGCCCCTGGTCTCCCCATCCGCGCCTCAGTTACATTCTCTGTCCTGCTGCTGGTCTGACGTTCCTAACAAGTTTTGGGGATGATGACATTTTGATGGTGTACAGGATAACATCTAATCTTCACCTCACAAAGGTTCTTTCTGCCTCTGCCCTGACCCTTTACTATCCCAACACTCCTCATCCCCCCGAACAGGTTTCAATACCTTTATAAGCCGGTTGTTTTCTCTTCGGGAATGCCTCGCCCAGCTGGTACGCCTGGCAATCTCTGAGCCATCCCACCAGTTCTGATCAGGTGGCATCCGGAAGCCCCTAAGCCCCTCTCTCCAACCTGCAGCCCCAGTGGCTCCTTCTCCCGAGTGCAGTCACTGTGGTTCGTACGTGCCACCATCACAGCGGTTAGGTACAGTGTCTGCTTGTGTCTCTCTCCTCTACTTTTGACTGTAAGGACTTGGAGGCCTAGAGCATAAGGTTTTAATCTTTGTACCTCCCAGGTATCTAACACGGTGCCTGACACAGCAGCCATTCAGATGTTTGCTGCATGACTAAATGAATGAAGCGCAGGTGTTCATACACGATCAAATGCAGACCAACCACCAGCACTAGTTCTTGCCACTAGGCTTGCCTGTCATGAGAAAGGCAGTAAAACCGGAAGCTGTTAGGACTGCAAACTGCAGAGTTCCCTACTCCAAATCCCAAAACCTCTGCTCCTCCTCCCTGGTGGCAGTGCTGCAAATGGCTGCCTCTCAGGGTCCCAGAATAAATCAGTTACCCAGTGCTTCCAAGCAGTACAATAGACTGAACCCATCAATGGCCCCCTTTGTGAAGTCCCGAACAAGAAGAGAAAAGTACTTCTCTGCAAAATAAAAGGTGATTGTTTGGAGAGGACTTTGAAGTTCAAAGATCTTTTATCAGGGCAGGCAGATGGTGCACCTACACAATAGGTGTGATTTAGCCTCCTATTTTAACCAACCACACTGGCCTTTGGTGGCCCCTGTCAGCACAGGGGTGGCTGTGTTCTCTTTCATGTAGCAGACAAGAAGGTCCTCCATCCCCAGGAAGCAGGTTCCGGGAGGCCTGATGCCCGGTAGGCCGGGCTACTGGGACCACCCCCACCCCCCAAACGCCAGCCCAGCCCAGCCTCCACCTGGGACCGGGTCTTGGCTGCTGATTGCTCTGGGAAAGGGTTCCCAGATACCTTGGCACGAGCCCAACTGTATCCCCAGGGAAACTGGAGAGGGTGCAGAAATGTACCAAAGTTTTGTTTTCCAGGTTTGGCTCCTGATTCAACTGTCTTCACCAGTGAAATTCACAATCTGCCACCACACCCTCCAGCTTTTGGCCCTCATTGCCAAAGGGCTGGGTGCCTCCGCAGACATCTGCGGGGAAACAGAAATTGGGGGACCAGTTTCCATTCTCACTTCTCATGCCCTATGCCTTAATGCCCCTCTCTTCTTGACAGGATCTTTATAGCCCTACTTCTGCTGTCGCTATCAGCCGGAAGGCAAGAACACCTCTGCCCCGGCCCAGGAACTCCCGGCCAGGAATCAAGCCTCTCCCTCAATCTGCCCCTTCATCTTTTATCCATTTATGTTCATCCTGGAGACCTTCTTAGCAATGTCACAAACCCTCCACTCCGGGAATGGGGGGGGAAGAGGGAAACTGGGAGAGTGGGGAAGAGCTCATATCACTAAAATGCCACTGTGCACAAACTCTTCTTTTGTACACCCGCTGCCCTCCCTTCTGATGCAACCGAGGGGAGGGGGCGGGCCCTGGCCGCCTTGGCTCCCGCGGCCGCTGCCACGTTCTTGCCTCCCCGCGGGAAGCCACGCCGGGCCCGGGCGCGGTGACGGTCTCCGCGCCGCGGCCCCGGCGCCCGCGGACAACTCCGCGCCAGCCCGGCGGCCGTGCCCGCTGGTCCCCGCCCTCCGACCGCGCACCCAATTTCGCTTTCGCTTTGCGGCGCGCGTCCAGCCTGGCGGCCGCCCCGCCACCCCCACGGGCACCTGCGACGCCCCCGAGCGCGGCCCGGACCGCGGCCTCACCCCAGCCTCTCCTTGCTCTCCTCCGAGGTGAGCTGGTCGAAGGTCTTGGAGTCCTCTTTGCCCAGGAAGGCCTCGTGGTCGTACTGGAAGCTCTGGTTGTCCTCGGGTGGCCGCTCGCCCAGCTCCGAGTCGGGCCGCACCACGCGCTCCTTGCGCACCGTGGGCTTGGCCCGCAGCGCCCCGGGCGCCAGCGCCAGCGCCAGCAGCAGCCCCAGGGCGAGCCCCAGGAGGCGGTCGCGGCCGCCACGCGCCATCGTCAGGGCAGGAGAGCGGCCCGCGGGGAGGCACCGAGCGAGCGAGGAGGACTGCGACTCGGGAGTGGGGGCTCCCAGCGCGGCGGCGGCGGCGGCGGCGGCGGCGGCGGCAGCGGGGGAGGGGATGGGCCCGCCCCGCGCCGGGGAGAAGGGGCGCGCCCCGCGCCGCGGGCAGGGAACCTTCGGGCAGCCCGGCTCACGCGCCCATTGGCCGCCGGGCTGCGAGGGGGGGAGGCCGGGGCCGCCGAGCCACGTCGCCAGCCCGGGTGGTGGGCGCGGGGCTCGGGTTTCGCCTCGGCCCCTCCCCGCGATCTCGTTGCGAGGGGCGGGCCCAGGCGTACTGGGCTGGGGACCGGAGGGATTTTAGGAAGACGGGGAAGAAGTTCTTTGTCAAGCAACAGATGTTCGCGATAAATTTCCCTCTCTCTTCTCCCAGTTCCGGAGAATTGAAAGGAGGGAGGAAGGGAGGTGTTGCCCCTCCCCAACTTCCAACGGGGCGCCCAAATCCCAGCCCTGGACCCTGTCCAAAGATGCACTCCTAAACCAAATGCAACCCCACTTCCCCAAACTGGGAGTCTGGTTACAAACACAAGAGACTGGAAAGAAACCAGGGTGGCTGAGGTCCCCTAGAAAGGAGGGTCGCAAACTCAAATGTCTAGGGGGAACCAAGCAAGTAGCTTCAGTGTGACGTAGGGCCAGCTAAACTGGGCAGTCCTGCGCGTTCCCGCTGCCACGCGTGCAAGACCCCAAACTGGCAGATAGTTCCGTTTCCCAAAAGAAATCAGGATTTCAGATGTCTAATGTTTTCACTTCTAAACAATGGTAACTCATTTTACGAAACACTACGTGATTTAAACAAATCTTGTCTGTACATCGAATGCAGAGTAATGCTGCCAACATAGAGAAGCTCTGTAGAACCGTCTGCAGTCATGGAAATGTTCTATATCTGGGCTGTCCAGTGGTGGTTATGGAGCACTTGATATGTAGCTAATGTTACTAAGGCTTGGAAGATTTAATTTAAATTTAAATAGCTGCATGTGGCTAGTGACTGTCATATCCGACAGTACAGGTCTAGGGCAGTGATTCTGTGTCACAGCCTTTCCAGACTCATTGAAAACCATGGGCCTCCTTCCAGAAAAATGCACATACAGCTACTGGCAGGAATGTTTGATAAAAAGTGTCAGGAGATTCGTGGATCTTCTGAAGCCCCACGGATGAGCCTCAGGTTAAGTATCCCTGGAAGACTAAGGCTGTGGCTGCAGAGAGGAGCCCTCTCCCACAGCCCTGGACAGCTGTACTCCAGAGCTTGTCCTTTATCTCGTTCTGCCCTAGAAAAGGTCACTGAGCTGTGCTTTTTGCTCTGCAATAAGGATACCAGGACATTATCAACATAGATCCAAGTACCTTTTTTATGAAGACTTCTTTCAATTAATGAACAATTACTGTGTGACCATTGTGGCCTAAGCACTGGACTGGATGATCAGGATACAATGGGGAGCAAGACAGTCATGGTCTCTGCAGAGCTATAGTGTTTGTATAGGTCATTCAGTAAACTAAGCACCTGCTAAATGTCAGGGCTGTGATGGGTACTGGTTTACGGAGTAGCAAATCAGTGTGACAAGTGCTGAGGGAGGAAGGCGTTGGGTATGATGGGGTACATCAGAGGGACAAGACCCAGATTTGGGGATCCAATGAGGAAGGCCTCCCGAAGAAAGGGACATCTAAACTGAGACTGAAGGCGAATAAGCTAAGCCAGAGAGCAGGGGTGTGGGCACATGCTGGGAGGATAAGGTGTCTGTGAGCTGGCGCAGACAGCAGTGGAGTTTGAGGTCCTATCCTTGTGACACTGAGATGTGGGGATGTAGTCCTTGGTGCCTCACCAAACCTGAGCTGACTTTTCATGGGGCAGGAAGTGTGGTGCTTGAGAACAGACCTGCTTCCCACTGTCAGTATTGAGGCTTGAATTTCTAGCAATAGAGAAACATTACATACTCTTACATACTTTGGGTATAGAAGAGCTCCCTATTAAAATGCGAAGGCCCTGAGGTTTGTGGCCTTGTACCTTCAGTGCTCATCACACAAGCAGGATGTGAACTGAGTGGGGGGGAGAAGGAGGAATGGGAGAAGGCACAGAAAGAGAACGAGGCTAAAGAGGAGGAGGATTCGGAAGGGAATAGGGAAGTGGGTGGAGATTGGAGACAGTCTTTGCTTTGCTTATTCACAACTGTGCCACAGGCAGGCCTGGGCCTCTGGGGTTGATCCAGACTCTCAGGATTGAGGACGGCACATCCTTTGCCCTGTTCTAGTTGGCTTTCTGCCAGACACTAGTGGTTTCCAATAGTTAGATTGTTCCAGAGGTTAGCCTTGGCTCCTGCGGGAATTACCAGAGAATTCTGGCACTGCTGTGAATCTGGAAGAGTTTATATCATTTCCCCTGGGATGGCATATGCTTTTTTTTGTTTCTTTTGATGGAACCTAAACTATCAAAATAGCTAGTCTTCCCATCCCCCCTCTACTTTTTAAAGTACCTTATTTATTTGGAGTTTAAGTTTTCTTTACCATTTCAAAAATTCAATTTATTTAAAGTAAAAAACCCAACGAAATAGTTCATCTACATTGAGCCCCACATCAGGCATCCCAACTTTTAAGACATACACTTGACAGACAAGCTTGCAAAATATTAACTTGGAAAACCGATGGAGCTCATATCCCCAGCCCCACAAGCCTGTAGTGAGCCAAGGAACTGCTGTTAAAGGACTCGAGGGTTCAGCTCATCAGCTTCAGGGCCCAGCCTGGGGACGGTCAATTGCACCCAGACTTAAAGTGAAGGAGGTTCACCTCTTTATATGAAGGCATCCGCCAGAGCACCAATATCTCCAGGGAGGGAGCTTTTATACACACGGTGGCCTGATTTTTGCTGCTTTGGTCTGGGGAGTCTGTTGATCACTTGGTTCTGGAGACCACTTGCGATCCTTGTCCCGTGGGACTCTGATAATTGGTGTCACCTAGAAAGGAGTTCAGAGTTGTATCTGGTGCACCAATTTTTGTGGCACTGCCAGGGGGCACTTCTACATTGCCGGGCTCTGATGGCCAGTAGGACTTACTCCTGTGGGTCCACAGGACTATAACCAAAGGTGACTGAGTTCTTAAATAACTGCCATCCCCGGGGCCCAGCAAGAGGCAACAGACCCAGGAGCTCAGTCTTTCTGTGAAAGAGGCCTACCAGCTAGTCCTCATCAGACTGAGACTTGAGGAGCAGGCTTCTGATTAAACATGCATCTAGGGGCTAACTGGGATCCTCTCCAGAGATGTCGGAGGGCAGCCTCTATCTTTAGGCTCACCCTCTGCTGGAGTCCAGAGCACCAGTGTCTCCGGGAGGGTACCCGTGTCTGGTGGCCATTTGGGTGGCTGCTGCCAGGGGACACCTTTACATTGCTTGGCTCTGGTGGCCAGTGGGGCCTGTGCTTGTGAACCCACAGGACTATATATATTTGCATACTTTTAAACACTGATGCCTGAGGGTCTGGCTTTTAGTAAGTCTGAATCTAGCCCCTGAGATCCTCCCTTTTGGGACACCATCAAGTGTTGGTACATCCTCAACTACTGGGAGCCATTAAACCTATAATAGGCTGCTTGGAGAAGAACAAAGGTTTGAGAGACAAAAAAGAGCTGAGGCAGGGTTGAGTGACAAGGTTCACCTCCTACACAAGGCCACTCCTTCAAGACTGGGAGAGGGCACTGTTTCATCTGCTATATAGAAACCAACACAGAGAGTCAAACAAAATGGAAAAAAAAAAAAAAACAAGAAAAAAAACCCAGAGGAATATGTTCCAAATGAAAGAACAGGATAAAACCTCAAAAAAAGCCTTAGTGACATGGAGATAAGTGATTTATGCTTCTCTCTGATAAAGAATTCAAAGTAATGATCATGAAAGATGCTCACCAAATGGGGGAAGAATAGATGATCACAGTGAGAACTTCAACAAAGAGAAGGAAAATAAGAAAGTACCAAACAGAAGTTACAGAGCTGAAGAATACAGTAACTGAACTGAAATATACATGAGCAGGGTTCAACAGCTGACCACATTAAGCAGAAGAAAGGATCAGTCCACTCAAAGATCAGTGGAACTCCCCCAAACAGAGCAGAAACAAACAAACAAACAAAAAGAGTGAAAAAGAGTGGAGGTCGCTTAAGGGACAACATCAAATGGACTAACATTCTCATCATTGGTCTACCCGGAGAAAAGAGAGAGAAAGGGGGCAGAAATCTTATTTGAAGAAATAATGGTTGAAACTTCCTTAACTTGGGGGAGGAAATAGACATCTAGATCTATGGACCCCAGAGAGTTACAAATAAGAGGACCCCAAAGAGACGCACACCAAGACACAATCAAAATGTCAGAAGTTAAAGACAAGAAGAGAATAAAGCAGCAAGAGGAAAAAAAAAATATTACAAGGGGATCTTCCTAAGATTATCAGCAGATTTTCCAGGAGAAACTTTGCAGGCCAGAAGAGAGTGGCATGATACATTCAAAGTGCTGAAAGAAGAAAATCTTCTGAACAAGAATATTCTACCTGGCAAAGTTATCATTCACAGGTGAAGGAGAAATAAAGTGTTTTCCAGAAGCAAAAGCTAAAGGAGTTCACCAATAAGCTGGCCTTACAAGAAATGTTAAAGGGCTCTCTTTAAGCTGAAAAGAAAAGGTGCTAATCAGTAATAAGAATACACATGAAATCACAAGCCAGCTAGTTTACCAGAGAGAACCAGAGAAAGAGACAGCTAAGAAGAGCTCTTCCGGTGTCAGAGCACACCTCAAACATGGATCTCAAGAAACTACCCCTGGAAAAGATTATGAGTTTAATGGGATCAGACTGGGGAGCTGTCTTTGCCCCAGAACATTATCTAAAACTATAGAGTAATTAGCCGGCAATTGGTGGTGCCTAAAGTTGGTTGCAGCCTAGGAAATAGAGAACTCTGCTTAGATACTGTCATTCCAGAGTGACTGTGTGCATGGGAGGGAGCAATGCCAGAGACTTTACAAGGTGGGGGAAGAGACTTCCCTAAGAGAGTCCAGCCAGCTGGACCAATAAGCAAATAAAAAAAACA